CTATTAGGGCTGAACGGTAAGGTCACACTACAGATGCTAAGTGTAAAGGCTGTTACGAAACAATTCTTCTTACCATAAGAAAATTCCTGTTCTCACTATCAATTATCACCAACCTATTCCTGTCATAAATCGCCACAAACTTCGGTCGCAACTGTCACTGAGTCTGCTTTTTTTCATTTTCCATTCTTTCCTCGTGGGATTTACCCTCACGTGAGTGGTTCTAGGAGAATTTTACGCTCTTTTCAAGCCATCGCTCAAAAGTACCTTGTCTTTTTGATGTTTTTGATGAAATTCTCCTTTGTAGATCATGTCTCAGCCATCGGACAAGCGGGATTACAGTTGGGTCGCGGGATATGAGAAAACTTGGTAAGTTTACTTTTCTCTAATGCTTCCTATTGTCCATTATTTTGGCACCACTTTTGCTTGTTTTCTTTTTCATGAAAAGACTGCTGGTTCAAGATTTATATGCACCTTTCCTCGTCCAAGCATCAAGTGACCTGTAAGATCCATAGTATTTTTGATGAAACTCACTGCAACACACCTTTGCAATTTGCAAAGCAGTAATCACCTGATTTCGCCTATCCATTCGAAGGTGCAGAGACCTTTCAGTCTTCCTCTTATTGTTTACTCGATGGCTGTAGTTTGAACTTGTCTTGTGAAGAACCGAGCTTATGGTAGCATTTGCCGTTTTGAATTTTGAGAATGTAGTGGCTATGCATATTACCTTTAACTGTACTGGTTATAACTAAGGTACTTCCAAGACCTATCTTCTGAGAGGAGTTTTGTGAGGTCTTCTGATGTGTGATGCACCAAACCGCTTTTGTAACCATGAGCTGCAAGGGTGAGGTGAAGAAAATTGAGTAATTCGGTTTCATTCGCAAGCTACGGATTAAAAGATGAAAAGTAATGAGGTTCGAAAGTCATTCACTTACTCTTCACTTTCACATCCTATGGACGTATAATCGAGCTATGTACTTTAGAGTTCGCACTGACCAAAGTTAACTGTGATGGCAAGTGCTTTTTCCAACCTCCTCTCCAGGGCTCAACTACTGCATCAATGGGACGTGCCACAGCTCTTGCCTGATGTTGTTTGCTTCGTGCATGAATCACTTCTGGTGCAATTTTTTTGCTATAAGCTTGAAATTTACAGGTCATATAGCATCCACTCCTGAAGTCTGCCCCCTCGTTACAGTTTGTAATGATTTAAGACAAAGGTGGACAGGTCGCACTCTTTTGTAAGGACCCTCCGGAGCCAGTTAATTGGCAGGACGAAAGCGATGGTCTTAGGGACAATTGCAAGGTCCATGCCAATGCACCTTGCTGCATGACTTTGAAAGGATGGGGAGGCACCGGTCCATCTTTTTCGATTCTTATTGTTCTGCTCACCATCCCTCTCAACTTCACAGTTACGTTGGGAAAGAATTGACTGAAAAAATCTAGCATAGAACTCTTGGAAAAGCCACATTAACGATCCGTGCCCTGTTAGGGAAGGATCACCACTTGTGAGAGTAGCTTTCATCCACTTAAATGGTCCCCGTAAATTTGGTTACTGAATGTCATATCTGTTGTGTAAACTTATTCGGGTAATTTTCTGTTTGCAATCTTGTGGTAAGATTTGTAACATTGTACTCTCTGCGTCTTGAGTCTTAGATCTGTATAACTTACAGAAACTTACGCATTTGGATTTGATACATCTTAGGTGCCTTCTGCAACCCAGCTTAGATTCAGCGTTTTGTAGTCTCAATTCGTTATTCTTCTCATGTCACATTTTCTTCAGGCTCACTTCTCGTTTATCATCTTAAATGTGTCCGTTCTGTGACTGAAGTCCAGAAAATTAAGGCTCTTTAAAAGTGACTAGCATTCTCTTTACCTAACTCTCAGTTCAAATGGGAACCTGATGTCAACATCACCTTTTTTTGGAAATATGTCGAAAAGTTGAATTGTGCCATTTGTTTATTGCTCGTCACTTCAGGTTATGTGGGATGCGGTCTCACAGCAAGTCAAAGTCGGTTGTCGTACACAACCTAATCGAGGATATTTGACAGTCTACGTTTCGATCATCAAGTGCTTTACACCTTGCATTGCACTTTGGTTCTACTTTTGCACTCTCAAGAGGTTGGACCCAGGGTTTGGCTCCACCTTGAAATGTCTGGCAAACCATGGGAAAAATAGTGTTTTTCCTAAACAAGCTTGTATGTGATTTTTTGACGTAATGTCGACTGATCAACGCCATTCATTGAGGCTTTAAAATCCAGCCAGTCACTTCCTGAGAAAAAGTGGACTTCTACAGCACTGGCTCAAGAAAATTGAGTGGCTTTATAGATGCGTATTTAAATATTAGCTGGCAATTTCAGCATCCTTGCGTGTTTATTGTCCCTCACCCTACAGGGAATCAATAAAGGAGGACCAGTCGGGCAGTCTGGTGGCAAGCTTAGAGAAGATGGTTCGGGATACGCACGCTGATCTTCGAGCGAAACGTCAGCACACCAATGCCACTGCTGTCACCATTGGTGGCACTCCACGACTGGGCATGGTCTGTTGTTTTCCATTATTGAACCCTTCGTTCGAACTTTTATTATTTATATTTTCAAGATAGTTCGAATAAATACAACTGCATGCGAAGTTGGGTGTCAAGATAACTTGCCAGAAACCCTTTACTTTTGTTTTGCTGATGTTAACCTGCCCAAACAATTGGAAAGTCATTCAGAAATGGAGGTGAACCTGCCTTCCCCACACTTTGCCCTACAAATGATCAAACATTCAATAGGCGATGGCTGAACCAAAGCTTTGCGTGCTTCTTCAGCCTTCATCCACGTGTTGAATGGACTGAGTTGAAGCAGTACGAGAAAGCCAACGTGTTGACACTCTTGACACCTTGACACGACTCCTTTCAGTACCTGACGTCTAGGTGCTAGTGTGCAGACCAATCCAGGCTAAGCTCGACGGAGAGGTTTGAGTGGTTACAAACCTTCACACCTCTCCTCCAATCTATGCTTTGCCTGTTTCCTTTCTGCGCCTCATCAGAACTCCTTCATGCCACATGGTTCATTGAGATCGGAGGATGCAAACTCGACAATCGTGTGAAGTGTTGACGGTGAGAAGTGAGAGTCAATGTCGAAATGCAAAGGAAGAAGGTTCAGTGAATCCTTCCAAAACAGACTCAATTGGAGGGCATATTACAACACCTAGAGACTAGCTTCACCCGTAATGAGTGAGAGGCACGGTGGGTGAGACAGCGCATTTGGCTAATTTCTCCTGCAATGCATGCCCCAATGGATTGCTCCATTTCCGTTATGTGTAAAAACGCTCGTTTTGGTTATCAATTGGCAGGCTAATTGAGATAAACGCTACGGCTTTTAATCAAGCAAATGAATTTTCAATGGGGGGGATTCGGCTTTAGGGATTTCTTTTCTCTCGAAGTAATTCTACAGCAGTGTCGTTGCTCATTTTCTACCACTAACTTCCCAGCTTTTGCTGTGTCATTTTTGGAAAGCAAGTGTAACTCCTAATCTTTGTGAGCTTGAAATTCCAGGTTCGGCATCTTTACGTGGTGATTGACCTCTCCACCGCCATGCTCGAACGCGATCTGCATCCCAACCGTCTTATCTGTACTCTCAGGGTGCGTTCTTGGCCTTTTATCTAGAAAACACGTTAGTTTAACTTTGTTAATTCCATGTAGACGAGAGGTTATTTGAAGTTAGCTCATTTGTTCTGTTGTTCCGGGTTTGGCTTACTGCCTTGTTCGTCTAGCTATCGAAGACATTTTCGTTTTCTACCATCTTTGTTTGTAATGTGCTCCCCTATTGGAATACAGAACAGTAGGCTAAAAGCTTGTTTTTTTATGTTACGCAAATTTGCGGATTCAAATGACAAGATTATGCTAATGCTTGGTGGCCAAGAGCCGAAGTGCCTCTGGCGTTTCCGGTCAGTGTCATCATAACCTCAGTATCTGGTGGTATTCGAGGTGAAGCTAAGAAAGTCGTATTTGGCTGGGTTCACTAAGGAACTTCATTTTTTCAAAAATCATTACTAACTTGAGTGGTCACTTCAGAAGAGTGAAACTCGTCTCCATCCCAATTTTGGAAAGCGTTGTGACTCCCACTTGATTTAATTAACTGATTTGCGAAATTTATTTTGGAATGTAATTATCCCAAAGTGCGAGACACTTTACGGTCTTCTGATCATGGCCCTCCCGTTGCAAGATGTCTGTTAAAGGACTAGCAAATTTCGATCCCACTCCCTTGGTTTCAGGAGGAAACTGACAGTGGGAGGTTTTTTAACGCTTAGCAACTTTATACTTGCATTCTCAAGATTAATGTCTTGCAAACAACCGCTTTGAGTCTCGAACTAGGGTGGAGGCTTGGCTGCATAATCAAAGTCACCACCTTTTAGCTCTCAGTTTTTTTCACTGTGTCCTTATATGCATTTCAGTGCCTCAAAAAGTTCGTGGAAAACTTTTTTGATCAAAATCCTCTGAGTCAGTTGGGCATAATTTCGACTTCGAGCTCGAAAGCTCAGCTTGTCTCCGCGTTGTCGGGTAAGTGCCCTTTTCTCGGATCACATTGTCTTGCTAAAAACACAAGCTTGCTGGAACAGAGACAGTGGTAATAACAACAGCGTTGAGAAGGTGATTTTCGACTTAATGCTTGATTTTAAGGCTATTGAGAGTTCACTCAGTTCTCTTGTAACCACTGCTACTTCTATTTTCATTAAGTCACAAACCTACTTGAACAGTTTTTCTAACTTTGAAATTTTGCTCATTTTGACAGAAAATAAGTATTTCTGCTCTTTAACTAATTCAAAATTGCCTTTTACATCGAGTGATTGCACAGACTTGAGCACTTCTGGTAGAATTGGCTGCAATGACTTGCTATAAATTATGAGGAATTGAAACGAATAGAATTATTGGTTTGCCCGTTTTGTAGAGCAGAAATAGGTGGACGTCGACCCATTGGTACGCACTACGTCATGGCATTGTGGGTCAGGGATGGCGGGTATGACTCAATGTCACGCTCTTTAGAGTGTAAAAGTTGGAGCAGATTTTGCTCGTGGTGATGGGAGATAATATCCAGCAATGAATCAAATAAGCTTCTCAAAATGTATCGTAAACAACTTTCGATGGGGTAAGTAGCAAAGAACTTTCATCACAATCGTATGGACGGTAAGAGGTTCTATGTCTTCTAGAAGGTAAACACTGGACACTGAAGCCTACCATCTTGTTCTCTTCTACGCACTAAGCGCCTTAGATTGTTGACTGAGTGAAATTAGATAGGAGGTGGGTTTCGCATGTCAAATTCAAACGCACGACCAAACCGCTTCGTATTTTTAAACGTTCGATTGCTCTTTCAAAGAGGTGAAGCCGTCGTAATACTCGAGGCCATCGGCGAGGTCTGGATGTTATGATATTCAATAGGAACGTAGAATTTAATTTTGGAACTCTCGTGAAACCAGACCGGCAAGTAACACAAAAAACTAAGGTAATGTATAAAGGTTCTTCCTCTTGAGCATCATCCGCCAACGGTTATCAAATTTGCGTGCTAGTGGAGAGCATCGTCACCAAACCTTTGCGCCAATTTCATTCATTTTCAAAGTGGTTTTCGAAGGAGGAGAATATGTACGTCACCATATATCCTCATTACTAGCCGAAATCGAACACAGTTTCAAGGACGTGAGACTTCCTCCTTGTACCTTGTCCAATCGTACTTATATTGGTTGTATCCTACTAGCAATGAGGAAGAGGAGTTGCCATTGACAGCGCTGTAGTGAACGCTTCCTGATGGGCAAGAGTTGGGTTTATCGGCGCTTTTTGAATGCCGAGCCGTAAGGCGGGAGTACGTTTCTCGCTATCTGATCTACACTATCATAGTAGAAGTTGCGCCATCTCCCCAGAGTAATGCTTGCTTTGTTTACTGCCAACATCAGACGCAATCGCTTAGTGAGTTTACCGTTTGCTAGCAGTCGGACACTTATAAAAATTCTTCGGAACCAATGAATTATTGCGAGGACAGTAGTAGTCTTAGTAGATAGCATGCGACTTCACGCATGCCAACATGTGGCATGATGCTAAAATCACCTCATAGAGCGGGTATGACACACCACTCTAGGGTGAGAGATGGCGGGAGACACCGGGTCATCGTACCCAATTGTCTTTATGCTTGTAATGGCGTTTCTCCGCGTAACGTTTACCCTTCCCTTGTTTGTAGCCAGCTAAAGAACAAAAGCGCTATAAGACAGAGGAGGTGGAACACAATTTGTTTGTTTCTAGAGGTAGTGTCGATCACTTCCTAAAGCCAAACTCTATATCTTAATCTTCCTACCCGCTTTGTGCGGCTGTTGTCTATTCTCAATGTGGCTACCTTATCACAACAGTGGTTGCTAATTTATTTCTTGCTGTTGTCTTTACTGAACTCAGACCTCAGGATTTAGAATGCAAATCGTTCTCATACCTGCTATTGGATTTCTCACAACATCACTAACAATTAATCCTCTCCTCTTGTAATTTGGTTCTGGGATTCCTCATTTGCTCACTTGATCCTAATAACAAGCGCCATCCCCTTTATCTAACCCCAAACTCCAGGCATGTGGTCCACTGTTGCTGTTCCATCTGAGATGATACCGCATATTAGCCATCAAATATCAAGACTTGTCACGTCACGCAGGGTTGATCATATTGGTGACCATATTCACCACTGCTGACACAGGTCCTCAAGAGTACAGCATTCGATGCCCTCAATTCCTATCTGCAAGGATCTATTTATCGATGAATTTTTTAATATTCTTTTTACCCCTTAAGTTGAACACATTATCACTCCTCCCCACCTCAAACTACTTACGTTAGCTGGATTTCTTAAGCGCTGATGTTTCCCAATCTTATGTGTTACTGCATCATTTGGAAGGTGCACTAGTCCTCCAAATTATCAGTTTTCACCTCTGATTATCTTCTGAAAATGGCTCCATTTAGGGATTAAATTTCTCGTCCCCTTTTAGGCGGTTTCATTCAACATCTTCGAGCTCTGGAAGAGTTGGGCAAACACCAGCAGTGCGTAGGAGAGCCAAGCATCCAAAATGCCCTGGTTATGGCCGAATCACGACTCAGGCAAGCTTGAGTTGTGAAGCTATAATTTTTATCCGAAGTTATGACGTCCTTTACCAAACCCTCATTAAATCACTTGGAAGGTTTACATTGTTATCTTCACTGTCTATAGGCATATGCCCTCGTACAGTTCGCGAGAAGTTCTTTTGATCCTCGCCTCTATGACGACCTGCGATCCTGGTGACATTCATCAAACCATTCAGAGCCTTATTACACATCGCATCCGTTGCAGTGTTATCTCCCTTGCTGTCGAGGTCTTTGTCCACAGAGCTCTCGCCGAGGCTACTGAAGGTTTGTTGGTAGACATTTTACTTTACCCCCTCCAACTCCAGTCCCATCCATTAATGTTCAGTCCTCTACCTTTTAACAGCAGAAAACCGTTTTAGTGGCCAGCGTGCGAGTTTGGATATTTTATTAGCAAGCTTCAGCCGTCACTACACACTATTCCATCCACTCGTTCATACTGTTGGCTCCTGTTCTTGACTAGTTTAGTTTTTTGCGTTGGCATTCGACACGGTTGCTGGCCATACAAGAGAACTGCTCATCCCAGATGTGCCTCTCTATTTATACGGCACTTTCCGCTGACACCTCTCTACTTCGGGCTTCACAACTATTACATTGAAGTCTGCGTGGCTAATGTAATGAGAATTCCTTGTCTTTAAATGCAGAAAGGGTGCACAACGGTTTACACATTCATTTTAACAAACTATGCAATTGGGGCGAGGAGAATGCATATTCATATTTCATCCTTGGTACTGCACAGTTTGTATGTAATTGGGTTTCCTAAACAACCTGCCATGCTAGTTCAACAGTATCGGGAACCACATCCTTCCTCTTCCGAATATGCGATGTTCTGCACAAGCTACTTGGTTCCACGGTTGGGTCTACTTCAGAAACAATAATACCTTCCAGTGTTAGCAGCTCTAATCTCGGTCTACTTCAGGTTCCCTCACTGTCATTATGGACGCGCCTCATCTTAAAGCCGTTCTACAGAGCCTCGTTCATCCTCCCCCTGTCTCAGTAAGCTCCTGCTTAATCATTTCCCCTTCTTTCACGCAAAAATATGGAAATCAAGCTTTTGTTGGTGTTTAGGAGGATAAAGATGCTGCCCTGTTACGAATCGGTAAGCTTAGATTGTAATTTTTATCACATAATACCATTTCCGTAGGCTTTCCGCACTCAACTGCCGCAGATTTTGAGCAATTTCCCGTCCGGGTTTGTATGTGGTAGGTCTGAAGTCATTTTACTTTCATAATTTTAGTAAACGTTTTATTTGATCTTGATTGTTATTTAGTCACTTGCCAAATGTCGAGAACAAAGGCGAAGTCACTGGAGGTGCAAATTCAGAATGCAACGTTACTGTTGGCAGCAGCAACCGTCCACGAGGATCTTACCTTTGCCCTCGTTGCCATTCAGCTTACTGCGAGTTGCCAGTTGAGTGTGCGGTGTGTGGAATAACCCTGATGTCTGCACCACATTTGGCGCGTGCCTATCATCATCTCTTTCCTCTACCTCGCTTTTTGGAGGTACCACGTTCTGAAGCCCCTTCCACGGCATCAAAGGGAGATCCTCTTGGATGTGGGGGTTGCAACGTCAATCTACAGCTGAAGTCTGTGGTTAGTGCATTGATTTGGTTGGACTTTCTGCCTTCCAATTTAAAAGTTTCTCTTGTAAATTGCTTCCTCGTTACAGGTGTACAAGTGCCCAAAATGCAGTCACCACTTCTGTGCAGATTGCGATGCCTTCTTGCACGATTTTGTCCACTCCTGCCCCAAATGCCCCGTTACCTAGTTGCTCTGAAACCTGTGTGGTCGCATTTTTTCCCCCCATCTCTACACTAGTTTGATCGTTAACTCGAGTACCCACTTTGTGTGACGGAGAATTAGTGTAGAAGTTGAGCTTTGACCATCCGACATCTTTACTATTGGCCTTGTATGTATGTGTAATAGTATTGTTTCTGTCATATCTTGATGTTGCAGCCATGTAAACTGTGCCTTATATGGATCAACAAAATTATAAGCAGAATAGGTGGCTCGTCCAAACAAACTAGCCATTGATGCCTTGTTGTAGAAAACAGTGTATCTGAACTGTGACATCAGGGTTTTGTGGATTTGATAATGAATGAAGTAATACGAGATGTTTGTCTGTTTTTATTTATTTATTCAATTATCCATTTTCTGAAAGGAGGAAGACTAACATGAACATATTTTGGAACTATAATTTTGATTTCTATTCTTTATGTGGCCCAGTAAGAGTTGATGGATTTTGTTTCATCAGAACTTAATGAATCTCGATTGGGGTCCGAGCAGGGCTCACTCAGTGAATGGGAAGGGCGCTCAGTTTCACAGTATCGCCTGTGAGTCAGAGGGATGGGATATGTTTGGGTTTGTAGGAACTGCCCGCCTAACCTCATGCTCTTGAACCACGGACTTCAAGAGAGGGTTGGTTGCAGTATATTTATAAGGCATTGATTAGAGAAAGAACGAGGATAGGAGTACAGATGAGCCGAATAGCAGACATCACTCTGAGAGAGATTCCTCACGGGATTGGCGTTCCAATTCGGTTCCCATCTCTCTCCTATAAAGGTTCACTTAAACACTAGTATATACTACAGGGTTGTTTAATGGAGGGATTCATCTGTAGACACTGTCAAGGGGGTTTCACTTGTGTTTTCCACCCCTTTGACCTGTGTTGAATGCTAGATTCAGGGCGATTCACGTTTAACTGTTACGGTACTTGAGGCTCCGATATCAGGTCAATATGTGACAGTGGGTTGTAATCGACCATAGCATAGATGTGTCGATACTCGTTCTCTATTTTCTAACATAACCCTTTTATAGGCCCTGACCACTTAGTTAGGCGTGGAGATGTATTTTGATAGGCATCTTCTATTCACTGCCAGCTAAATGGTTAGTGGCATCGAAGAAATGGTTCTAGATGTCTGTTCCATTAAACACGTATGGAGGCTCAAAATCATCTTAGCTGCGATTGCAACTGGTCCATTCATTTGTAGCAAGAAAGTAGGTCAGGTAACCCGCTTCATTTGAAATGCAAATTTTATCAGTTGCAAATAGAATGTCACTTAATTCTTCCCTTTGATGCACTTCTCTGACTCTTCGTGAAATAGGAGGTGCGGTTCTACGTGGACATAGAAGGGGGTTTTGAATGTGGCATCACAGCTTTGAATCGCCATCGAGCTGGAGAGCGTCCTATGATTGTCACCTCACCATGGAACTGCAGCTGACTTTGACACTGACGTAGAGCTAACATGTTAGGTGTCTCTCCCACGTATGCTTCAATTCCAAGTCTATCATCTGTCTTTAAATGGCTTTTGGCTCCTTTTCATAGGATTATTTGAGAAGGTCGTTGAACGTCAAAGGTAAAGCTGGAGGAGAGGCTAAACAGGTTAAACAGTCTTAATGTTCAGTGGTGTTTATACACTTACCTTTGTTGTGCGGTCGTTAGTAGAAATGACTAGGAATGTGAGATTTTAGACACCGAGGTAAAACGGTCATCAATATGATGGAATTCGTTACTTTTCTGCCTCCAATCGCATCGTTCACTTTAAGGAGGGTAGGTGGGAACGGAAGTCATCCAACTTTAGGCATTTAGAGACAATAACATTTCACCTTGAATTGGGTGACCACAAAGGATTGTCCTCTCTAGGTATAGCTTGCTGAAACAATTTACTGTGAGTGGCTGGGAAACAGTGCTGACAACTAGCCGTAACCTTGTTCTTTGTTCATAGCGCCACCTTCCTCAGAAAGTATTATTCGCTTTTCCCTTCGCTAAATTAACTAATTGCATGCAATAGTGAACCTGACTCCTATAAATGGTTTAAATGAAAATGTGGTAACGATAATGATAGTTTGATCGAGTGTGTAAAAAGTGAGAAGTCTTCTGCCCAAAATTAATGTCAAAAATTTTGACGCTTTTTAGCACAGTCAGCAGGCTAGCATTGGTTAAAGGAGAAGGTGATAGCAATAACTACAGTTGCAGTTTTCTCAGTCTTCTCGAATGTCATGCTGAAGAGCTCAGGTACTTCCGCTTCAAGCACAACCAATATCATCTCCCTTTCCTTCTTCTTACGTGGCTAATTTTCAGGTGTTAAGGAGAGATTATGTATGGTATGTGGGCAAAATTTGGGGTGTCTCACCTTCTTGCAAGGTATGGCATAAAGCCTCCGCATCCAACCAGTTTGGCGACATACGCTGTATTCGATCCTGCGTTACCTGGTAGGGATGGATCTCGCTTAGGCAACATTTTAGGAACTGTTGCACCACTCACCCATACGGTGCGTTAGCTTCAAACCCTTAGTAAGTGGAGGTTAAGGGTTGTCAACAAGGAAATGTATTTGTGGATGATTCACCACTGAAACCATGTAATCCACTCTGGGCGGTACATAATCTTACCTCTTCTTCGAAGGCTGAACAAACATGCTGCAAGGTGCTCCCACAGTGACTGGAATTTTCGCTTCAATCAGAGGAGTTTTCCATTTGTCCACAGGGCAGCAGGTCCTACCAAAAACGCCATGACCTTTTGCTCCCTTGGTTGTGGGTTATTTTCTCACAGAAAATGCGCCTGAATCGTCAAAATTGTTTACCACTCCACACATCCATTGCATGATGGAATGCCTGTGTTTAAAAGACAAGTAATGCTTCAAATGTTGGTTGAGGGATAAGGTTTGGGAGACTCTCTCTGTCTTGTGCTTTAGGTTACAGCCATTTTAAATGAACCTAGTGACTAGTGCTCCTTCGTTCCTGGATCAAATTTTAATTAACTCAATTTTAATGGGATTAGGTGGAACTTTCGCAATGGCAAAAAGCAATGCCGTTTATAAATCATCCTATAACAATTAATGCGCCAGCGGAATTAGATGTAATAGTAGCCATCCATTCGAATCCAAGATGGTAAAAGTACAGCTTATAAAATGTCTTCACTGTTTGAAGCTAAAGAGCCAATTGTGTTGGGATGTGGGATGGCTTGATTGGACTGCGACGACTCGTACGTGTAGTGAACTCACGTGGTGTCCAATCACGTGCGCACCGATATGCGCCAATCAACTTCGTAGGCGGTTGAGTGTGGAAAAGAGTAATTCGGATGGTGATTGACTTAAGAAGGAGAACACGCTCGCCGCCACGACTTGACCACTGAAATTGTGATGACAACCAGAAAACGTGTAATTAAAGTAGGCAGGTGATTGACTCATAGGCACAGCGCGTGAAGAAACAAAAGAGAGAAAAGACAGCGGTTGTGTGGGTTATTCATTTAGCCGACCAGATATCCAATTTTGACCATTGCTCTTCTAGTCTTTGTACAGGCACGAAATTATTAGTCTGACTACTGTCTCATAAATCAAGGTGAGCTTCTGCCATAGGCACAGGGTGAGAGTCTCACTCTGTTTAGGATGTCAACTTCACTAGTTCCTGTAACTAGCCGGAGGAAATGCTTTCATAGCAGACACAAAAGAAATGAATCAATGGCTCTCCATCACTGAAAAGTGCGATCAAGCTCGGCGCAAGTGCACTGATCTCCGTGTAATTGTCACCTAACCTGTAGGACAGGATGCTTACCTAATAGAAAGACGACATTCAATACCAGTATCTTGAGCATTGCCAGCTAAACACCACTTTGACACACAGAAGTTTTAAATTGTTACAATCAGGAGATGTGGGGCGCCCATCCCCCTTCCCCAGTCATACTATTTATTCTATCATTCTTGATTTAATTGCTGCTGCCCTATCGAGAGGTCCAACCATTTTACCATTTACCATGTACCGACGTGAATGCAGCATTCCTCACTCATGCGCCTCCAAATTCTCAGTCACGTACAAAAGATAGGGGGTGAGTGCATTACCCGCAAGGACATATTTTAGATATCGGACAGGAATGTAAGACTATCATGCCATTATTTAGAGGCGATTCAATGAGAAGCTAGTATATCGCTTAGAACATACTTCTTAGGCGATTTTTCGACAAGTCGTTCCAGTAAAGAGGTTGGTAGTTATTTATTCCTCCCCCATTGTATTTAGGACGAATACACTGGAAGAAAGTTTAGGTGTCATCCAAATCCTTCTAAAACCGAGTTTATGTTGCTACTTGGCTTCCTTTAACCGTGATTTTGGAACCAAAAAATTCTATCTTATCTGCAACTATGTTTGGGCCCTGCATATCGAGAGTTCACTAAAAATATGCATTTTGAGTGATGGGAAATAAATTTGGTCGTCTGAAAAAATTCTTAAGCGCTCACTGCTCTGGCTGTGGAGCTCAGCCCAAGTACAGCCAACACTACCCACGTACACGTACGCAGCATAGTTCTTCGACAAAGTACACATCATGTTTTGTTCTGAAGTTTTCTTACCTGTATGTGGGAAAAACAAAATGAAGTCTTTTCTAAATAACCTCAGTATACCTGACAGAAAAGTACAAGAAAAATGGAATAGCTAAACAGCATGCGGATCGCAATCGTGCACGACAGCTCCAAGGCAGAAGAGGTAAAGCGCTGTGCACGTTTCAGTTAGCGAAACGCCTTTTTTGGTGCAAACACTGCCCTTGAGATACTGTCCGTTGACTAGCAGGTAAGAGAGGTGGTCTCTACAGCCGAAAGTGACAAATTAATGTGTTAGAACCCAAAGCCATTTGTTACCAGTCAAAGAGGTGAGATGGGAAGCTTCGACTGCTAACAGCTTGAAGTAACGTTCAGATTGGATGCTCCTCAAAACGAGCATTGCCCAGCCTAATTGGTGAAGTTGCTATTAGGCGATCATGTCATCTCTTTTCCACTGTACCAGTGAGTGTCTTTTGTTCCAAATTACTTCCTTTCCTTTCAATTAAGTCTGCCATTGCTGTGCCTGACGTAGACTCTGACAGTGAAATCAGGACATCATGAACATGTGAGACTGTTTTCTTGCAACAAATGCTAGTCAAACACCCTCAAAGTGGCACGTAATGAGCTATCGCATTCTGAGAACAGTAAGTACCATTTCATTCGGCACCAAGATCTTTGGTATGGTATGCATGAGGACGAGGCTAGGCTGCCTTCAGCTGGCTGAATGAGAATACTGCATTTAACTGTTTCTTTCAAATTGACCACTTTTACTGACATCATTGATTTTTCGTTTCTTCTTTTTTTCTTAACTATCCCACTGCCTAGTCTGTTGTATTTCTGTAGCTTGTATTTTCATTCTTCAAAGCAATTTTCTCTCTCCTCTGCACCTAATATGACTGCGGAACGAAGTTTAACATTCGAGCTGATAAACACCCACCAAAGGGACAACAACCCCGTCTCGAGTTGATTGAATGATCAACTTGCATATCACCACTAAATGGCCCTTGAAGTTCACACCATATGGACTAATCAGGCTGAGGAGGCCTCCTTCCCTTGGACAGTGACCAAAACGAATGCCACCTAACAACGGCATACTGCTGTAATTTAATGACTTCTTACCATCTTAAAAGTACTCAAAACCATTGCTTCCATCCATCTTTCCTAAATCCACTAGCCCGTAGTGGTTAAATTGAACCGTCCTCACGCCAAATCTGCTGCTATAGCAGCAACGGAAGATTAGCAAAAAACGATTTTCCGCGCATACAGTGTGTCACACATTTTAAGTTTACTTTAAACCTACAACTACTACTTATCTTTTTTTAGCCTTCCTTCCATTCTGTTTAATGGCTTGTAAAAGTTCAGTCCATTCATTTCAGCGGTTCTCCTTTCACAGAGCGAGCGCGTAAAAAGTGGTGCCGCTTTGATTTGGCAACTGTGGTGGCCTTTACAGTTGAAGGAGTGGCGCGCTGACACATCAGATATGTCACTATTACGTTCTTTGGTGTCTGAACTTGAGCCATGATAAGGTTTGTGGTTCGGTCTCCACCTCCAGGCAGATGTTCATCACTTCTAGCCCCCTCTGTTTGATCTTCTTGCAGGATTCTTTTCCTTTAAGGAGAAAGTTGGATGGCGCAATTGGTGTTAAAACTGAAGCCTTCCAGTTTGGTCAGACGCTGGTGCGATTATTTAAGCTTTTAGCGTATGCCTGGATCAAAAATTCAGTCAGTTAAAGAGCAAGGTCCACCATAAAATGAGGTCGATTTGTTCATCAATGATTTAGTTGAGATGGGCCCTACAAAATGTGTGCTTGAGGTTGGAATTATAGCTGGAGGGGTGGTCGCAAAATCTTTATTAACAAAATATTTAAGAAAAAGCAGCAACTTCATGACAACCTGCTTAGTTATTCATGAGTAAAG